CTTCCTAGAACAAGATTGGGAAAGAGAATCCATCAGGCTCTCCTGCTCAGTCACACTATTAACCACGTGATGTCTTGAAGGAAGATTGAAGGCGTGTACCTATTGGGTGTGGCCAGAAAAAAGATGGAGGACAAACAGCTACTAATGAGCTTGTTCTGACTCTTAAGAATCAGAGGAATCATTGAAGAAGATTATATGTTCTTTACTGTGGTGGAATCAAACAGGAGAATGTGGATTTCACTTAGTGCGATGTATTAAAGATATATATTTTTTATAACAATATTTTTTTATCATTATAAGATTATAAGATATATTTTTTATTCCGTATATCTGCTATTCCGTATTCTGCATTTTAAAGTGTCCCATTACACACTGTCAATTATTAGGAAATAATTTATTACATTCAATCACAATTGCATTATTGTGGTGGTCAAATGAAGTTTTGTCTTCACCAGTTTAACTTGTGGCTTTGATAGTGCGCAGGTAACACCAGGGCTAGCTATACTAGCCATTTGTTATTTCTCTTCTGTTTGGTATGATGTAACTCAGTGAATTCATCATAAAAATTTACCTCAATTGCCACCTAATAAAATGGTTTCTATATATAAAAGGTCAATAATAGGAAGGGATATTGGCCAATTTTCATCAAATAAAAACAATTCTTCATTTTTATAATTTGTCCTCATTAGATACCATATTGGGCTTTAATCTGACAGTCTTATTTTGGCAATTGGCAGTTGCAAGCAAAAATGCTATTATTAATGCCAATCATTGATGTGCAGCTCAGTATTGCACAAGTGTACAAAAAATCACCAAATTGACAAATGCTAATTACAATTTTACAGCAAAACCACAAAAAAATACTGTATACATTATGCACTTATTATTGTTAACACCCTCTCCTCCAGACACAGTTGTAGGTGGAATAACTGGGGGGTCAAATCTTGGTGAAATCCCCCTAGTATGGGATAGGGGCAATTAAATTCTTTGTCACTATCAACAGAAGCTGAGCCCTACTATGGTTGCAAACTGACAAGACTAGTCTCCTTCATTTCTGTCCTGCACTCCTGCTCACTCATAACTTATCTGTACTTGCATACCGCATTTCCTTAAGTAAAAGCCCGGGTGCCTATTTCCTACAATGGTATTAGGATCTTGAACCCGTTGCCTTATGCTTTTGACTTCTGGAACTTGAGGCATTATCCACTAGACTACTAAGTTACTTTTGGGCTAGGGTTGCATATTTATACGACGTTTATTTGAATGCGGCTTCTATTTATGAATATACGGTATAATTATAATCGATATAGTTGTTTTATTTAAAAAATAATTATACATTTTTTAATTACAACAATAACAACCACAAAAAGGTAATGACACAAAAATTAAGGAAATTGTATGAGGAAAAATGTAACAAAAAACTGAATACTGCAGAAGAATTACAAAGGACTGCAGACAGAAATAATTGCATATAAGTTTTAAAGAAATATATAGTATTAATTGGTTCACTTGATATTCCTTCACAGGTTGAACAATACCATTTGTTACAATCATCACATTCAATCCAAAACAAAGCACTAGACTCAGTATATATATAGCCGCAACCAGCACAATGATATCCCACTTTTGATGCTGTGGAGGTTGTCTTCCCTGAAATACTCCTTTTCTTCTGCTGTCTGGTAAGGGCTGCTTTTGCTGCACCTCTCTTTCTAATGCAATTAACTGAGTTCAAGTGATCAAACCATGTATTGACATCTGTGCTTAATAGATTTTCTTTAGCTATTTCTTCTTGTGAAAATCTTTTTCTGTAGTAAAGATCTGCTTCAGCCTCAGAGAAGGTGGTGTTGAAACATCTTGTACCATCTCTCTTGAAGTATCTAAGTCAACCATATTTGTCTTATAATGACATGTACAAAATTTCGTGCATGAGATGCTACTCTAAGGTCAATCAGGATCTATAGAAGAAAGAGGTAGGTTTGAAACAGGAGAACCATTGTGATACCAATAATAGTATTGACTCGAGCCACCTCTGCAGCAATTCGGATGTGGGCATTCCTTTTGAAAGCAGCATCGTACAAAAAATATGAATGGTGATGGTGGTCCATGGACTAAGTGTCAATCGCGTATTCTCCATATAGTTTCATATTGAGCGTAAAGTTGAGGCTTTTGAGAATACATTAAAAGCTTAGCTTTTTTTAGATCCTTTCAGATCAATTTCAAGACTGGTATACGTAAAATAAAATCCAGTTGAATCTGACCCTTCGAACAACTTGATATTTGTCTCACCACATGGAGTAGTATTTACTCTTAAAATATTAGCATCAATTGCAAGTGATAGGTTACTTTAATTTGTGTTCATCCACCTTTTCTGTTTGCAAGTCTATCCTAATGTAGAAGGAATAAATGTATTGGCGTGGCCTAGTGATAAACATCAATTTTGAAGCATCAATTGCAAGTGATAGGTTTTACTTTAATTTGTGTTCATCCACCTTTTCTGTTTGCAAATCTATCCTAATGTAGAAGGAATAAATGTATTGGCGTGGCCTAGTGATAAACATCAATTTTGAAGTCCCAAATGTAACAACTTTACCTAGTTGAATGTGCCAATTGGTGCAAAAGTATTGGACTACCTCATGTGTTGGCCCTTGATCCAAAGCTCCATCGACCCTTATACAATCAATTATTTTTGGATTGCCAGTTTCAAAGTTATAAAAGATGTTTTTCAGCAATGTCTCCTCTTCTAGCATTTGTATATCAGAGTAATGCTGTGCTAGATTTATTTCGTGACTAGGAACTGCTTTCACAACACAAAGTTGTTTTCATCCTAGTAAAACTATAAGTGGTCAGCAGTACTGAGAGAGTCTTATTTACAAAATCTGTTTTGGTTGTTAGTGCATCCATAACTTCAACAACTGGAGTAGCATGCTGATCTTTACAAGTTGTTAGAGTGTCTAAACAAAATCTCTGTTAATATTCAATACATTAGACACATCTTCATACTGAATTGTATTAAGTTTTTTATAGAAAGCAGCACTCCAGTGTGCATTTGGACCGTACCTTAAGTTGAAACCTTTGGGTGTACATCTTGTGGTAACTTTTGCAAGCCCACAATATCTCTTAGCTGACCTACAACTCTTGTTCCTTGGCATACACAGTTCTACAACTCTTCCATATGAGATGTCAATACCAAGGATAATCTTCAAATGTGCCTCGATCTTCTAGACATCACTTTATTCTTCAGGTTCGTAATACCAACAAAAGTTAGAACTCCAGTTCATCTCAATGCGTCTGCTCCAACATTGTGGTCTATGACATAGTTCTCTTTATCTCTCCAACATTAGGAAATTGCTTATTTATTTTGCTGCTATGGCTTGTCATCTTCCATTATAAAAAAGAATCTATGCTGAAATTTCAGATTTTAACCTTCTAGCCCATCTTTGTACAGAAGCCTGCTTTCTAACTACTATAGTTATAACATCTTTTGTTGCAGTACATTCATCAAGTTTTGATTCAGAATCTGTGGCCACTTCTCAATTAATGCCATGCACATTTCTGTCATCCTGTGCCATATTATGAGCTACAGCATTAAATGATTTGTGTGACTGCACAGCAAATTGTAATTCCTCTTTTGTAAAATTTAAATGAGGCAGTGTTAAGAAAATTGTTCAAGTAAATCAACCAGCACATTTAGTGAATGATACTGCCTCTCTAACTGTTCAAATTCAAACAAGATATATTTAGGCTACGTTTACACAAGAACAACTGATAAAAACGCATTGCATTTTGTATATCTAGGTGCATCGTTTTATTATGTTTACACTACTACGCTCAATGAGGGTGTTATCATAAAATTGATTTCTTCACGTGATCAGTCACGTGACACTTAAAAGAGTTAAAAGAGAAACAGAGAAGAAGATAAGACAGAGAATTCTTGTGGGAGCTGACTTATGCCAGGGAGAAAGCAAACCGCTGAAGAAGGATTTAAGTGGAGCGATGATGAAGCCGAGCTTCTTCTGACGGTGACAAACGAGTATAAGGTCAAGAAAATGGAAGAGAATATAGATTGGGAGTCAGTTAAGACGAAATATGAAGACATTCTGAAGCTCATGAAAGAGGAATTGCCAGCAACTGTCCAAGAATCATCAGACTCAATGAAAGATTATCCACACACCAAGGAAGAGATGACAAAAAAGATTTTGTCAACGAAGCTGAAAGCAATTCGAGCAAAATTTAGGGAAGCAGTTGACAGTGGACGCAGAAGTGGCCATGGTAGAGTTGTAATGCTCTATTACCAGCTATGTGAGAGAATATGGAGTGGATCGCCTGCAACTGAACAAATAAGTTCTGGAATAGAAAGTAGTGATATAGTAACATTTGTCTCAACTAGTAGCCAAGTCAATCATCAGATCACTGATGATGAAGATACAATACTCTCTCCATGTCCAACAAGTACTGCTACTGATGACTTACAACAGGAATCGTCAGATCAAAGTTCAGCTATATCAAGTGGGGAATCTGCATCTAGTGATGACACAGTACTAAAGAGACGAGAACTATTGAATGCTAAACTTACTGAATATAAGCATGATAAACTGAAACGAAAGTTACCAGTTGATGCTCAAATATTGTCATGTACTATGGAAGAATTAGCAGTTAAGAAGAGAATGGTTGAACAAATGGATGTGTTTGAAAAACAATATACTGAAAATATTACGAGGCTGTTTGATAATATGGAAAAACTTACCAATACAATCTCTGAAGGATTTGCTATGTTACGAAATGTAATGGCTACAACTGTACCAGCACCGTATGCGTACCCCCATCAATTCTCTCCTCCCATGTACTCTCATCAACCTCCTTCATTACATAAGTCGTATAATGAGTCACCATGACTGAAGTGAAAACTGCATAAACAATTGATAGTTAACTCATAATTATTTACCAACTAATTAACTTTCCAATGTTTAAAGTTAAACTTAAAATAAGAAAGTTGAAGAGTTAATGAGAGAAATTGGGTGAAATTAGGGATCAAAATACATCGTCAGAGTTCTTCTTATTTTTCTAGGCTCCTCTTCATTGCAGTGGGTTGTAGATCTATTTCGAACAGTAGGAGGCTGAAATCTATTATCGTAATGAATAGCTACTTGTACCCTTTCTTCTGCAATAGATTCGTGATTTAATTCACAATAGTTATGAAGTACAAAGCAAGCATAAATAACATGTGCCACTTCATTGATATTGATATCTAGTGGTCGCTTGAGAATACCAAAATGAGCCTTTAGTCGACCAAATGCACATTCAATCACCATTCGTGCACTGCACAATTTATATCCATAATACTGCTCTTGTACAGTAGATCCCCCATTAGCATACTCTTTCATCAGGTATGTTTGTAATGGATATGCAGGGTCTCCAATAAGAAATACTGGAATTGGGTCTCTGTCTTCCACTAAAGATCTTCGACATGGTGGTATTTGTGCAGTTTTTAAAAGATTGTTTAGGGTGGAGTTAGAGAATACACGAGCATCGTGTACACTTCCTGGCCACTTCACAACTACATCTAAAAAACAGTACTTGTGATCACAACAAGCTTGAACATTAAGTGAGTAACGGTTCTTTCTGTTGATGTAGTCAGTAGGATTGCTTTTGGGAGCTTTTATGTCAATATGTGTGCCATCAATTGCACCAATACATTGTGGCACTCCAAAAGCAATATAAAAGCCTGTCACTTTCTCATTCACTTCCTCTTCAGTTAGAGGTAACTTGATATACCTTGGTCCTAGGTGAATGCTTATTATATAACAAACTCGTCTAATCACAACAGAAGCACTTGATCGTGCTATACCAAAAGCATTTGCGGTCTTTCTCAGGCACCCTTCATCAGATAAATAGTACAAAGTTAAAGCCACCTGTCTTTCGGTTTCAATGCATTGTCTCATATTAGTTGACTTTTTCTCAATAAAGGGTCGTAACTCGTCACAAAGTTTAAAAAAATTAGCTTTATTCATCCTAAAGTTGTCTTTCCATTCCTGATCAATCACAACGCCATTAACAAAATTGTCCCACCATATGGTCGTCCTACCAGGCTTTATCCAGTATTTTTTTAGACTCCTTCTCTTTTTAACGATCCTTCCTGAATTAGGAGTAGAAAGTGTGTGAAATTTCTTCTTCATAAGACTGTAGTAGCTAAATGTAGTGACACACATCAGAGCAAGATTTAGCTGGTAGAGAGAGGTAAGTGAAGTCAAGAGTGTGAATAATGACAGCACAATCTTTTGCCTTTGAAATGCCTCCCATTTTATCTCATATCCTGTCACATGATAAGGCATCAATTTACATCATCGTGCTCATTTTTTGAGTTTACACATCACTCAAAAACGCATCGTTTTTAAAACGATGCACTACGAAGTTTGTTTTTGTTTTTCTTAGTGTTTCTATTGTCTCCATGTAAACGCAGGTGGAAACAGCCTTTAATTGAGCACGGATACCACTGGAATTTGTTATCGTGTAAACGCAGCCTTAGTAAGCACCCACTGACAGGAAGTAATAAAAATGATCATCTTTGAAGGCTCATATCTCAGTGAAAAAATTTTTTTAGACAATGGGAGTTAGAATACATCATTATTATGGTCAGGTAATCATATTAAGCCAATAAAAAAAATCACCAAAAATACACCGGACTTACCCTTTAAGATACTATCAGCCAGTAGTACGTCCTTAAAAGTCATTTTAAGTGACTGCAGTAATGCTTCCTTGTTCACACCACAAAATTTTACTGGTCTGACCCTGTGGTAAAAGTGAACCAGTGCAATTATATTCACTTCTTTCTGTGAAATTTTATTTGTCACATGTGGTCAAATCCCATCATTTCAGGGTGTCAAAATCAAAAAAATCCCTTTAGCCCGACCCTATCCTGTAATTGAAGGCCTTGGTGGGGGTTAATATTAATAGGTGTATTATACTCATGTTGTGTGAAAGTTTCAGCTAATTTCAATCAAAAATGGGATAATATTTACAAATAAAATGAGGCCAAAGTCACGTCTCATGTAGCCTGATGCTAATTTACCGAATAAGAGTGTGGTGTCAATCTAAACATAAACCCATGTTATCATGGTTTACGTCTGCGAGGGCATCAAAATACATTTCACCCACGGATTTGCATGTGGCGGTTAGAGTAGTGAGAATAAAGTTATGGCTACTGCTGTAGCTGAGAAAGTTGATACTGTTTTTGTCAAACTTAGCTTCCAGCTACATGACAAACAGAAGGAGGCCATTTTTAGCTATATATTTGGCAGAAATACTTTTGTAGTTTTGCCAACTGGCTATGGCAAGAATCTTTTCTATTGCTGCTTGCTTCTTTTGTATGACTCAATCAGAGACTTGCCCCAAGTACAAGCATAGCTTTGGTTGTCTGCCCACAGATAGCACTGATAAGGGACCAGACTGAGACATTCTAACAACTTAGTATCGCTGCTGCATATGCTGGACAGGCTCAGGTATTGTTGGAAAGATTTACAACTGGTGAATTTCAGTTGATCTTCATTAGCCCTGAGTGTCTAAACAAAGGAAGATAATGGAGTGTGCTTAAGACTGACTTTGTGCTTAGTGGCCTATATTGTTTATGAAGCACACTTAGTAAAAAGAACTAGTAAGTCGTAGTTAGTAGATACGGTGTCATTATACATGATGTATGTTGTGTAGGGGGAGAGAAATACAGACCAGATTTCTCAAATCTAGAAGAGGTACGGAGCCTGCTCCAAAGGATACCCAAGTTATGGCCTTAACTGCCACAGCAACCAGTCATTTCAAGGAGCATGTAATGAAGATACTAAGTACGAAAGAAGTTGCATTAGTGGAAGTGTCACATAGTAAAGATAATTTATGCTTTAGTGTTGCCAATTTTAAATCAATTGAGTCATTCTGCACATAATGAATGAGCTGAAAAGTAAATAGATAGAAATGGAGAGAACTATTATTTTTGTCTTCGCCCAATCGATTGTGCCACACTACAAAGAGCATTTTTCTGATACCTGAAGTATCAAAAGACAAAACCAACTGGGCATTGTGCTAGAATCCAAGAGTGGTCTTGTTGACTATAACACAGGATGTACACAAGAGTCTTTACAAAATGGCATCCTTAGCCAAAATTCAAAGCAATCCTTTTTAAGGATACTCATTGCTACCATTGCTTTTAACCTTGATATTGATTATTCTGATATTAGGCGTGTGATACATAATGGTGTGCCAGAAGACTTATAGATGTACGTGCAACAAATTGGAAGAGCTGGACGAGATGAAAACAAGTGCCAATATGTAATGCTATTTGGAACTGGAGTATTCAGAAGATTCTGCAATGAACACAATGTAGCATATTGCAAGTTACAGAAAGAAAGTTGAGGAACGTTTTATATTCTATGTTTTCCTCATGTATACCTTATGATAGTATTATATATAGGCACCAGTTGTGTTGTAATGTTTGTTCTCAAGTTCTCAAATGTAAATCTTTATTATAATTTATTACTAAATACACTTATACAGTGTTAATAATAATTGTATAACAATAATAGTTTTTTAGATATTGTGTGCATTGCCAATAAAAATATAACTATAATAATATTATTAACATCTTTTTTGCAAGATAAGTTTCGTTTAAATACTGCTATAATGACCCACTATCCACTTGATAGTTTTGTCTTCATACATTTGTTTCATTACATTGCACAGAAACATTTTACAGTGGACCCTCGATTATCTGGACCCTTTTGGACTGAGAAAAAATTTGGCCATCTGGATAAGTGAATTTGTCTGGTTAATAAAAATGAGTGTGGTGGTTAAAATAATTATATAGCTTATTTAACCACCACGCCCAAGAAATGGTAGAGGCTGCAGCAAGATGCCACAATTTACGATAGCAAGTGTAGTTAGGGGCCACCATGTATTCAAATCTATTTGGACTCCTTATATTGATGAAGTATTGCAGTTAGAAGTAGAAGACAACAATCCTCATGATCAAAATGCAGTAGTCATTAAGAAAGATGATACCATTGTCGGTAGAGTTCCACAGTGACTTCTTGTTGATGCTCTAACCACATCAAGCAGTGTTCAAACATATGAGCAGCATCACTATTTGTTACAGGACATGGAATATCTTCTTCATCAGTTTCTGAATTATCTTTATCTGTAGCTTCATCTTTTTCTTCTCCTTGCATGACGCGTGTCACATAATCACAAATCTCTTCTTCAGATAGAACTTGAAGCCTACTGTGATCTGCATCGCTTTCTAGCCACTGAGCAATCTCAGTTTCCTTTTTTGTCATTCCAAGTTCAGAAAAGTAATCTGTAAAAACTTGTAAAGATACATCATCATCACTTGATTCTGGTAAAGTGTCTTGTGCAGGTTCATGGTGAAACCTTACTCTCAAACCATGCCATAAGCCAGAGCCACGTGAGTTACCAATACTTGATAAACAAAAGTCAGCCTCATATTCACTTTCATCATCAGTTGCTAGTTGATACAATTCTGCTAGTAATGGTGTAGATGGAATAGGTACTTCAGCTCTACTTTTGATGGTTATGATTGGAAGAATTTTATTCCATGACTTTCTAATTGTTTCTTTTGTGACTTCATTCCATGATTCATGAATGAGGTCAACAACTACTTTTAAATTGACTCCTTTCAAAAAGTCTGAAACTGATGTACCACAATCATCCTCAATAATGAGCCTACGTAACAACTTTTTATATCGCTTTTTCACAGCTTGTATGACACCTTGGTCCATAGGTTGGATTAATGCAGTGACATTAGGTGGTAAAAATTGAGCAAAAATTTTTCCATTCTTACTGACAAGGTCTTCAGGCACAGCATGAGCAAAGCAATTATCAAGGACTAACACGGCTCTGGGCTCCTCTCCTAACTTGTGCAGATTCTCTTGAACATGTGGCACAAATGTCTCATGAAACCATTCAGTAAACTGAGCTGCAGTCATCCATGCATTGCTATGACTAGTATATAAAACAGGTAGCAATTTCATGTCTAGCTTCCTAAAACAAAGCGGACGTCTCGCTTTGCCTATTATGTGAACTGGCAACTTGATTGTGCCTGATGCATTTGAACACAAGTTAAGTGTTATGCGCTCTTTTGATTTTTTTCTTCCTGCAGCAGATTTTTCAAAGGAAGCTGCAAGTGTTGTTTCTGGTAGTAAACGATAGTTTAAACCTGTCTCATCACAGTTAAATATTTGATTTAGCGATAATGCTTCCTTTGTCACAAATTCTCTAAATGATGTGATAAAACTATCAACTGCTTCTGCATCACTGCATAGCTTCTCTCTTTGCAAAGAAAGTTGCCAAATACCATGCCTTTTACAAAATCTCTAGAGCCATCCATTACTTGCTTTAAAACTAGTTGATTCATTATGTATTCTCTTTGACAGATCAACAGCTTTTTCACATAAAAGTGGTCCACTAACTGGTTCACCTTTCATCCTTTTCTGTTTAAACCAGAGGTAAACGCACTGATCAAGCAAGACATCATCACTTAATTTCATTGTCTTTGTCTTTCTACTCATCCCCATTCCTTCAATATTCTTCTTAAACTTCAAATATTGTACCTTTGTTCTTTTTTATATCACCAACAGTGCTCTTTCCTATGGCAAACTTTTCCGCTATCACTGATTATGAAACACCGTTGTCTATCATTTTTAATAACTATAGTTTTTCTTCAAGAGTAAGAACGACCCTTTTACGCTTCTTTTTCTCCACTGCTTTTGATTTGACTGGATCATTCCTTTCTGTTGCGACTGCTGCAGCACCTGCTGTCTTCTTCTCCATTTGAAAAGTAATTAATTAATAAATTAAACTTATAATTAATTGATTATCAATAAAAACTCTTGATAAAAATTAATATAAAATAACTGTAATTAATTAATGAAGGCTCACACGTGGTCACTTCCTGTTGGAATTTTTGAATCCGGATAAACGAGGGTCCGAATAAACGGGGTCCGGATAATCGAGGGTCCACTGTAAAACAATTGTGCTTATGATCCCAGTAAAAAAGTCAAAGCATCATTTTGTAATAATGATTTAATAATTTGCTCTTTAGTGTCAGGTATTGAAGGTGCAGAATGCTAATCCATTAACTTCATCACAACAGATAGAGTTTCATAAACAGGGCTAACACTTTATCCCGTTTTCTCAATGCTAGCTCCTGTTTTATTGACCACTCTATTAAGGTATTCCATGTGTATGTCACATGGAATGTTACAGCCTGGACGCCCACGCACATTAATAAACCAAGAATACATTAGAGAATCCATTTCTGATGAGCAAG